TGCTGATTTCAGTGAATGAAAAAGTATGCATTGGATTCTAAATTCTGTGCCAAATTACATAACATAAGCAATATAAAACTTACTATTATAGCAAGAATAATGCACGACTGGAGAAGCTCTAAGGAAAGAAAGTTCTGGTGTCCTCAACATAAAAAGGACATGGAGCTGTTGGAGCAAGTCCAGAGGAGGGCCACAAGGATGATCAGGGGGCTGGAGCACCTCCCGTATGAAGATAGGCTGAGAAAGTTGGGGCTGTTCAGCCTGGAGAAGAGAAGGCTGCATGGAGACCTCATAGCAGCCTTCCAGTATCTGAAGGGGGCCTACAAGGATGCTGGGGAGGGAGTCTTCAATAGGGACGGCAGTGGTAGGACAAGGGATAATGGGTTTAAACATAAACAGGGGAACTTTAGGTTAGATATAAGGAGGAAGTTCTTTACAGTGAGGGGGGTGAGGCACTGGAATGGGTTGCCCAAGGAAGTTGTGAATGCTCCAACCCTGGAGGTGTTCAAGGCCAGGCTGGACAGAGCCTTGGGCGACATAGTTTAGTGTGTGGTGTCCCTGCTCATGGCAGGGGGGTTGGAACTAGATGATCTTAAGATCCTTTCCAACCCAAACTATTCTATGATTCTGTATATCCTAAATTAACCTGATTATGGAAGCATACTAGTTCACCAGATTTTCTAGGAGTGAAAGAGTCAGTTCTTCCCTGTTTGTTACCTTACTAGTGGATCACCCCAGAGAATCCCTGCCTCTAAATAACCTATTTTTTTCCAGGAATTACTCTGAATTTATAAGTATGGGAATTTTGTAACTAAGTATTGGGTTCCTTTACTTGTCTCTCACATTGTTTTTTTTTTTTTTTTCTTTGTTATTTAACCAACCCCAAACAATTCACAAGCTCTCACCCTCAGGCCACATTTCAGACTTAGGAGAGAAAATTACAGAGAAGATGCATCAAGGAATTAACAGAAATGGTGGCTTTTCCTCAGCTGTTGCTTTGTCCATGCAGGCTTTGCCTTGCATTGTGTTGAACATGAAGCAGTCTCTGGCTTGCACTGCTACAGAATTATGGTAGTTCTCTAAAAAGTCAGCTCCAACTACAAACCAAACAAATGAACCAATAAACCCCAAACAAATGAAAATCCCTCACCAAGAAAAAGCAGCGATTTTTTTTTTATGTAGGATTCCAAAATTATTTCATTCACTCATTCAGCTCATTTATCTCATTCACTGCTGATTTCTCCCTCTGCATTTTCGTACTCTGAAAGTAGCGAAGCTGAACTAATATACCCAGAGACAAATACAAGATGAAAAGAGAACAGGGAGATGTGTTACCAGCAAAAACTACTTGAAAGGGGAATTCTGTGAGCTATTAGCTTTCCCACTATCTCTGCTAATGCTTTCTTGCAGATTGCCTCTAGAGAAATGAATCATCTCTTGTCTTGAACTACTCAGATACGCACTACTTGTTTATTGCTTTTTTCATTGCTAAAGAGTGCTGTTTATGGCTTTTTACCTGTAACAAAACTGTAAGACCCAATGCAGTGCCTACTCTCTATTTTAAAACCCCCCCATTTTTTATGCAGTGTGTGAACAAGATAATTGGCAAAGCTTTTTGGCATCTCGACTAACAGTATTAAACATAAAATGGAAATATATAAACATATAATGGAAAAAATATATATTAAAAATATATTAAATATATAATGGAAAAAAATAGTGCATAGCAATCAAGGTTGTTATTGATACAGTTTTAAGGTTATAGAAAGAAAAGTTAAACCTCTTTATTTCATTATTATTAAACTGTGCCACTTCAGTTGGATTACTGGAGACTTCTTTTCCTCAACACTGGTAATATTGCTTCCATGAATACAAATACCCTTTATTCCAGTTCTTCTCCCTTCTCAATTTATAACTTCACTAAAACTTATTCAATATTATGATATCATTTCATCTCGGAAAAAAGACAACAGAAGGAGGATGTGATTGATTGTCTACACAAGGTTATGAACAGAAGGGAGAAGATGGGTAGGAATTGCTTATTCACTACTATCCCAAGGTGATAGCTCTGAATGAAGGTAAGTTTAAAAAAACTGATCAAGACAAACAAGTGGTATTTCCTGCAGTATTTAGGAAATTCTGGCCACAGGACATTGTGGATGCTGAAAGTTCACAGTGGCTCAGAGAGAGATTGGTCATATTCACAGCACAGAAATTCACTGAGCTTTATTACAAAGACCTACTTTCAACTCAACGTGCTTGCACTGCAGATTGCTGGTGGCTGGATAGCATGGGGTTTACTCAGCCACTGGTCTTGTCTTAGGCTCTTCCCTGGGTGTAGACATTTGGCCATTTTTGGAGATAAAATGTAGAGCTAAGCGGACACTTGTTTTGATCCAGATGAAATGGGAGTTGGGGCATTTTGGTTGGTTTGTGTATTTATTTGGTTTAGTTTTTTTTGTCTAGGTGTGTCACATTCCACTCTGTGCTGACATGCCTAAGCTTAACAGCAATGGCTTCTTCCACAGTGTTCTCTGAGTTTAGGTCCCTTTAAATATATTGAATATATCTCTTACTAGTACTGTGATTTGGGAACCACCTCCTTTAAACACAATCTTGTAAGGCTCCTCATTTGCCCAGGAAATTGGTGCAAACCTCAGACATTGCCTGCTTGGTGACTTGCACAAATTGACCGGCATACCTAAGATGTACTGGCACATAGAATTATTCAAGAGATGTGTGTGTCCTACACCTGCAGGGATGCTGGAATCCAATTGGGAGACTTGTGTTTGTGGACTGCTCGTTTAATCACTTGCTTTAGTTTTGTCATTTTCTTTGCAGTTTTGTATAATTCAAAGATATCTCAGAAGAGATTTAAGTACATAGTCCATACCCCAGATGCTTAAAATCATGATTTAAAATAGGCTTAGCCTTAGAAAGTTGAAAATAAGAGGTGCATGAGGTAGGTAAGATTAAAAAGAACACGTATGTGTTCAGATCAAGCAAGTACGCATTTTTTTAATGTGGGTAAGGCCTTTATTTCCCCTTTGAATGCCAAATATTTCATGAGTATACCTCACAAGGATTCCTTATGGTGGACAAGCTTGCCATGCCTTTAGCTGCACTGAAGTGTTTCTGAACATACACATATTTCACTTGTTTTTATTAATATGACTTGTTAAAAAAGGACTGTGTGAACTTTTACAGATAGACGATGCATGCTCTGCCTACCTGTCCCCAGATTCCCAGCCTCAGGTGAGTCAGACAGAGGTGACTTTATTATTTTGATACTGTTTGTTATATGCAGTAGGATTGGAAGTGTGATACCTGAGTTCATGTTTTCTTTGTATTAGGTGTCCAGTACACTGGAAGAACTTTGTTTCTTGATCTTGGGATTTCTCCAGAAACCACAGGTAACGCACATGAAAGTCTACTTAGCATTTCTGAAGCTTGATTCATATAATTAACTCTGAGGACCAAGTACCTGAAGTGTCACTCAGTGCCGGAAGTAATACTATCAGTTCTTACTCTGAAGTGCTATGTGTCCTAATCCAACAGATATTAAAGATAGCAGGGGGACTCCAGTGCTTGGAAAATAATCTCCAGGTTGGATACAAGGTTTTAGGTGGTTTTATTACTCTAGATTGTAAAAATTATGAGCTCTCAATGGAGAAGAAATGTACTTAGGAGAGTCTAAGGATATACAAAGGAGCATCTGCTAAACCCATCTACTGTTCTAGTGGAGAGTAATCAACGCTCTCTACAGAGTTTGAAAAGAGTAGTTACATTGATAAGCAAAGACTTGCAATATATCTGTCAAGGAAGGATAATCTTCCAACCCAGTACTGAAAAGTTTATAATGCAATCAAAATTGTCCATTGCTTTTTCCCCACCCCTCCTCCATTTCCCAACAAATAAAAGCCTCTCTACTCATTCTTATTCCCACAGGGCTTAGATGAAAAAGACAACACCAAAAGGGTAAGATTTCTACGTATATTTTACAATCACACTAACATTGTCAAGAATATAACGCCCTTGCCCTGTTTTGTAGTAAACCCCCACTTTTAATTTTTTTGAACAGTTCTTATTTCATTATTCTAAGACTCATGACTCAGGCAACTCAGACATCATGGTAAGTGGCATAGCACCTCCTGTGAGTACATGTGTGCTTGTACATAAAGCCAGGGTAATGTTCCTTTTTGCAGTAGTCTCTCCAACTGTATATCAAGCTCAGAAATGGGAGTTTCATGTTTAAGATATAAAGTGTGTTTTAATAACATGGGAGAAAATCATCAATACTGTACAGGTGTGAAAAACATTCAGACATTCATGGAATCCCAACTGCATCTTAATCTTGTAGCTCTGACATTTAAGAATAAGATCAGATGCTTTTTTCTGGTGCTGGAACATAACATATTCAGTGAAACAATACAGATCTATAGAAGCTGAGAACATGACCATAAATATGAAGAACTCATAAAGATTTTTTTATTAATTAAATTGTATGGGGTTTTACGCATGTCATAAATTTGTACCAGGCAAAATACTATCTAAATCTCACTCAGACTTTGAATAGCATTTTAAATGAAAAATATGATTTAAAAAATAGTCTAGTATTGTTGCTATAAAAATATTCTTACAGACCAACAAATAAACTACATGTGATCCATTCTCGCTTTTAAAGTGCAAGCATAATCTGTTGTTTCTGTACATCTATGTGTTTTTTCTGTGCACTGTAGGATTTTGAGAAAGTTAAACATTTGCATGTTTTGTCATTTCTTAACAGTCTTATATGTTAATGTCCATTTTTGCCTTGTTCTTTACATTTCTTCAGAAACATGTGGTATATTTTCTAGAAAGTAGTGTTGCTGATACAGGGGCCAGTGGTTTTATGACAGAGGCTCTGGAGGTTTTAATGCTAATCAGGCCACAGTGAAATGAGCTATTTCTCCTGTTGCTCCTGGTTAAGATTTTACTGCATCCCCCTTCGTCTCCATCCTGGATACCTTTGGCTATGCCTGCCCCCAGAGATTTCTGCTTTCTCACTTCTTCTGGTTTAGCTGTTTGGTTTTCTAGCTCAGTTCCCATAGATACTAACTTTGATGAGATCCATCATTCCTTGGCTTTATTAGCCTCTTCCCACTGACTGCAAGACAGAGCCCAGGTGGGATGCCCTTTAACTCCTCTGCTCATGTCAGACTTCACTTTTTGTAGATATTATGGTGACACACTGCCTACCTTAGGCAGACAGCATAAAATTTGCTCCAAGTAGGCAAGTTCATTTTAGCTATTAAGTACATTAACACTTTGTTAACTCTAGTTATTCTATGTAATTCTTTTTTGTATTTTCTAAGTATTTACATGAGCTTACATGAGTATTTACATTTACATGATTTGAAGGTTTAAAATGATTAATAGAACATAGGTTTTTCTGCTTTATTTCTCACAGTGGAACTCTCTCCACAAGCCTCTATGGTTGTGTTTTGCCAGGGTGGCATTTAGGCTGCACACAATGCCACTGTGCTTAAGCAGGATGTCTGCAAGGCTTTTAGAAAACAAGGAATTTCATGATTGGAGCTTGTCTTTTAGGTAGAGTGACTAGTGCCATGGTTACAAATTTTACTTGAGAATGGATCCCTCTTGTGCACTGTTTTCTAGCAAAAAATAATTTTTTATGCTGCAATTTATGTTATTTTGAAGTAAAAATGACCTTTGCAGTACAATGGAGATTGGAGCTGCTAACTTCCATTGTAGATAACTGTAGAAATGTTAGCATGAGTACTGTATGGAAATATTCTCTGTACCACTCGCAGAGGCTGATCAAAGTCTGAATAATTGCAATTGTCTGGGCAAGAAGTGTGTAAACAGTTCTGAACTTGCAATGAGTAAAGGTGAGGACACAGCTTTTCCCTCCATCATTCTGAGCCACATTCGTAGTTTAAATATAAATGTTGGTACCTGTTGTCAAGTCAGAATGATAAAAAAAAAAAAAGTTTCTCAAATAACATCTTCAGTCGTGTTTTTGGTGCATGTTTCGTTCATAAGCCAATACTGCGGGAAGAGACTTTTTTCGCATCATAAGGTCTGAATTTCACTGTTGCTCGTGTGTCTGTGTTCATGTCCTCTCAGTCTTCTGTCCTGCATCCTTTACTGCAACTCGTTCCCCAGCTTAATGAGAGAAGACTGAAGAGATACAAACTAGACGTATGTAATCTTAAACTCTGTATACTTGCATTCTCACACTGTGATTCATTACCTCTTCTAAAAACGTCCTTGTAGACCTTTCTGCTCATAATTTTTATTTTCATTATTTAATATTACTCTAGTATATTTTCATTAGAAACATGAGGGTTTTCTATACTTTAATTAGTGGAAAAAATCCTCCTGGTACTTAACATTTTAAACCAAAAACTGCTGAAGTAACATACACTTAACATAGATCAGTGGTAGAACACAAAGCTTATGTATCAAAATGGATCTGTTAGTCCTTTTATAAAAGACTTTTTCTAAGTCTTTCAAATTTTATATATGCAAATATATTGCACTGAAGTTATATTTTCTAAGGGGTTCTTCCATATCTCCCCTCTTTCCCCTCCTGTTTGGAGTTCAAATAATATCTACTCCTTAAATATGTATTATTTATGGCCTATAGCTTTAAGAATTTCCAAGTAATTTATAGGCAATTTTACTGTTTAATTTAAAGTGCAGATTAATACACATTTTGTTGGCAAGTCAGTCTAAGACACTGAACATGATAACTTCCAGAGGGCAGGCACTAAAACAGAACTCTAAATAACCATACTTCTTCACAAATACATATGTTTCTGTATACATATATACAGGCAGGTAAGTGAATATACATGCATATGCATTACAACTATTTTTTTAATATCCCTTGGAAGATTAGAAGGTGGGTGTTACAATGAAGACAGTTTTTAGCTTCAGTTGTTTTCTAATACTAACCTTCTGACATGAAATCAAACAAGAAAACTAGGTAAACTTCTTTGAGATGTCTGTCTATAAGCAGAGAATGATGTATTGACATAAATCACAATTCCATGTTAGCAATTGTACTCTTGATTCCTTTTATGTTCTAGATCAATTTCCTTAACTTGTAAAAGCTGCCTATTTTTTTGCTTGTTTTTAGTTTTGTTCACTCTTTGAAGAGAAAAAGTAAAAAAATAATGAAATACACATGCTGTAAGACACTCCAATGGCAATGTACAAGACTCAACAGACAAATTTTTATCCTTTTGAAATACAAAAAAACTATAGTACTGAATGGATTATAGATCTGAGATGGGTATTTCAAAGCCAGGTAATGCTAGAACGAGATGGATAATATGAATAAAAATCATACAGATGTTTTACGTACAGCGAAGAACCTGAGTAACGTGGTATACCTGGTGAACTAAAGTCAAAATTAAAAGCATGATCTTGACACACCTCTGGGAACAGTCTGGGATCTCATTCTTGGGAGGAGCCCAAGTATTTCTGATATTTAAGCTTTGCATTGTTGTCTTTCTGCGAGGTTTGAAGACCAACTCCAGTTTGTCGATAGAAACTCCTCTCTCCTGCAGGCATTCTAGTTGTGTATGGCTAATGAAAGTTGAAGGCAAAGGCTGCTCATCATTACTAGAACCATTCTAAAGCAATATGAACCAAGCCAAAACTTGAGGAGGAATCTGGCTGTCATTCATATGTTTTCTGCTATATCTACATGCCATGTTACTGACATGGAGCAATACACAGAAAGCATGCCTTAAGGGGCAGGACTGTATAATAGTGCTGAAGAAATACTTTAAGTATGTACATAGATAACCTCTCTCTTGTGTATTAATTTACAAGGGTAGACATGATTTAAAATACTTTTTTTCCAGGAAGAACTTAACGGACCTGGAGGGTTTCAAAGCAGAGGATACTTTTTCTACAGGGTATGGTTTGTTTGACTTTTTTTCTTTGAATTTTGTGCTAAGCATTACAAACCAAAATGTACAGAAACCAGTGAATTACAGTAACAATTACTCTGACTGAGGGAATTTTTTTCAGTAAGAGCATCCTACCATACAGGATTACCCAAGATCTGCTCAAGACATTTTCTTGGATTGAAATAAAAGCATAGTAGGTAATTTTAGTACGTATCTTATTGTTTGTGTATACACACTACCATGCTATGCCTTAATAAGTCGTTGGTCATTATGTATATAATTCTCATAGAAAGTTCTAGAAAACATAGCATATCAGACAATCCCTCTAATAGTTTGTTCAACATGGTACATTTGCATGTGATATAAATACAATGCCATGCTTACACAGTGTATCAAAACAGCTACTGGGCCTGACCCTCCCTTTTCCCTTGTGTTTTGTCCAGTACGGTTAGAAACTAGATAAGAAATTCTCACGAGAACAAAACTACCCTGTTCATCCTTTACGCCATAGAGTCCTTTTACTCCATTCTAGCAATTCTGACCAAGTTAAAGATGACAAGTGTCAGACTTATAATAACTCTCTTGAATGTGATGAATTTTTTTTTTTCTATTTAAATAAGAAAGTGGCTAATGGTTTTGTTTAAAGAAGTGGCTATGATTAGACTTGATGATCCTAAAGGTCTTTTCCAACTTAAATGATTCTATGATTCTAAAGAAAAGACATCAACTTTGTATGGTTGCATTTCTTATGTACCAGGCTTGCATCTTTAGAATTCTTATGACAGGCCAAAGTTATGGGTAATATCACTAGCAGTGCATTCACAATGCCAGAGTAAAAAGCAAATCCTCATTAAGCTCAGAAAGACATTTTTTTAGCAGCTTTTGGAGAAATTGTATCAAGTCCCTCAGTAGTGGAAAATATTTCTGAGAATGATCATGATGAAAAGGGAGAAACTCTTCGCCTACGTTAATGAACACAGTCTAAAAATAAAATCATTGAGCGGCACATATTTGTTTGTTAATTGCAGCAAACACTTATAATGCAATAAGAACAGTCTGAAAGCACATTTTAAGAAAATGAAAAAAGAACGAGGGATAATGGTCTCTTAGAGTGCCTTCTTGTGGCTTTCTCCCCCTTATAAAATCATACAAGATGGGCATAATTCATTCTTCAATCTATACAAAGAGAATTTTACTGTCTAATTCTCCTCCAGAGGTGGATATACATTAAATGATAACTGGTCTCAGGTTTATATTTAATGATGATGATGTTGACAGAACTGAGAAGTTTACCAGTTTCTATACACACGAAGTTGTGTGGGGATTTGTTTACAGATCATGTATTGAACATTTTTCTTTCAGCCACGCAATGGAAGGAGATCAGTGGATTTTCGCTAAGGAGGTATTTATTTAATATTCTTAATCATAACCTACATTTAAGTAAGTTTATTTTTATACAAATAGGCCACAATATTTATGTTGAGAGGCAGCCTCAGAGAGCCTTTGACTGCGTAGCCAACTTAGATTTCCACAAACTTCTCCCATATGTGTTAAATTAATGTATCTTCAGATGAAGTGAATAGAAGCTGTAGGTACTCAGTTCCTAGAACAGCGAACACAGGGCTGTTTCAGGCAGCAAGAAATGGAAAATATCCCAGATTCAAAAAGAGTTTGAAAATTTACCACTGATGGTAAGTATATGCCAGGAAGAACTGATTCAACTACCTGTCAAATACATACTGAGAAGTAAACTGACATCCTGGCGATAATCTTACACAGGAAACATCACACTGAAACTAAGTCCAGCCTTCAGAATCTAATTCAAAAGCATTCAACTATATGGAGAGATATAAAAAAGTATTCCAATATTATAATGCTCTCTTTCCTAACACATTTTATAGCTCTATCATAATTTAGGTATTTAGTGTTTTATCATACCATCAGCTAATGCTTTTTCTTATTTTTCAGGATTTTAGATTCCTGAACTACAACTACTGCTGCGGGAATGCTGAGTACATGGACATACTGTTTTCCTTACAAAAAATTATTCATTACTAATGTACAAAGTCACTAGAATGTAAATGTTCTTAAGCTACGTTCTGTTAAGGATTCAAATGTTTCTTTACTTTTTTGATTATACTAAAATCATATTAAAATTATTGCTTCCTAGTGTTGTGATGTTTACAACTGTGTGTAATGTAACTGCAAAATCAATGTGTGCATACAACAGACATTGCCTGTAACACCACTGTTACGTGCATTTTTTTTTCTCTTATAAATAAAGGCACTCAGTTGTTTTAATGAGAATGTTTGCAGTTTAGACTATCGTATTTTTTGTATATATATATTGTGATGTGTGCAGTCTTTAAAATCACAGCTTATCTAGGCAGGCCAAAGAAAAGGTGTGGTTTGGTTTTCACGATGACGTTCTCTACCCCTGTACTCCCTTCACTGTAGCCTGTGGACTTCTGGCATTCTGCGGGGTGAAGATACGTGCTCCGCGGGTGATATATAGAACTGTATTGATGGTAAAGGAGTTTGGCAGTCCTGAATAAGTCTTAAGGTTAATAGCATTTCACTGGCTGGGGGGGAAAAAAAAAAAAAAAGAAAATTTCTATTCCCTTCACTAAAGGAAATTGAACAAGTTGCATGTTTTGAAGACATATCATGACTTCAACTGAAACACAATAGCATCATTATTTGTTCTCTTTCACTATTAAGCACGCAGATGCAGTATGGTTCTTGTTCAGAAGATGACTTAATGGTGTAATTTACATTGTTCCAGAACTAGGATTCACTTGAAAACTCAGTTGGTTTTGATGTAGACTTAAGAGTAACTGTACTCAAAAGCACAAATTAGTTTCCAATATTCCTAGCTGCTCTCTCCGAGTTTGTTTTCACACCAGGGTTATGTGAATTGAGGATGTTGAGGTTGTAATTACGTATTAAGTAACTAATCTATTAGTGTAGAAGCGGATTGGGGATTTTTAACATTGTATTGGCTGGTCAGGGATTAAACTGACCTCAGCATTACTACTCCCGCTTCTGCAAGCTTGGATGAGCAGCTGAACTTCAGAAGGCAGCTGGGAAAACAGATGGCCTCGGAGGAGGAAACCAGCTTAAGAAGTCCTGTTCCTCCTCTTACCAGCTTGTTTTCACTCTGAAGTTTGCTGTGCCTCCAGTCAAACTGCTGCAGTTACCTATTGTGAGAAACAAGCTCACTTCTTCAATTTTAGCCAGGGACAAAGTCTGTGGAGCAAAGAATATTTTATTTACAGCGCTGGGAGCTTCACAGGGGATTCCTCCTCTGTGGCTCAACTCTGGCTCTCAGAAGGCTCGTTTTTATCTCCCATATTGTTACATATTCATAGTTTTTCCAAGGATAGGCAGCCTGTATTACAATTAGTTCCAGGAACTTATTATCCTAAGCGTCCTCCCTTCGGCGCTTGCGCATTGCTCTCT